TTGTACATATCTTAAAGTCATGAGGACCCCCACAGCGCTTACACCTTTGTTCCCCAAGACAGTGCTTAGCAACATGTCCAAAATGCTGACATTTAAAACAGCGTGGCGGCGTCTCCACGTAGTCTGCCAGCTCGTGTCTGGTGAAGCTAAGGTTGATCTTCTCTGGGCGTTCCGAATTGGGAGCGAATGTGAGAACCACAGAGTCAGTGCGCCTTGATTCCCACTCGGAGGATGAGGTTTGGGCCCGTCGTATTATTCTTCTTGCGTGGTATACTCCCTGAGGTCTCAGATAGGTTAACAGCTCTTCGTCCGAGTACCATCTTGGGACCCCTTTTATAATGCATGTATTTTTTATGTAGCTGTGTGGTACACGGGCAGATATGGCAAGGCCGCAGATAGTGTTGGTCTCTAGAAGCATATTAGCTTGGTGTTCTGTCTCTATATCCAAGAGCAGGGCTCCCTGTGCTGTGAAACGGCTCTTTACTGGGGCTCCACCGAGAATCGTTTCAATCTCCGAGTATAGGTCAATAGGATTCACTTGCCTCAAGTTAGCTCCTTCAGATGTTGGAGCAATTAACATAGGAATGCCCACCGTCCTGTCTTTGCGATGTCGCACAAGGCGGAAACCACCCTCGTTCATGTCTAGATCTGTGAGGTTCGCCCCGTTGTGGTCCCCGACAACAGTTGATTCGTCCTCTGATTCGGCGCTGTGTTGTCGCTTGCAGTCAGGTATGCTTGCGCAAACCAGCTGGTACTTCTGACCTGGTGTCACACCTTGGGAGGTCATGGCGGCGCTCTGCCTGATGCTTGTTTCGTTTCTTCTAGCACCTTTCGACGCGGCGGGCTGCGCAGCACCCGTCGGTCGCTGATACGGCAGGTACCTTTTCGAGTCGTCCGACGTCTTGAGCAGTGCTGAGCCGTAATATAAACAAAAATAAACAATAAATGCAGGCAGAGCTACTTAGCCAAGCAGCAACAGCTTCGTCGTCTTCTTCCTCTCCGTGTTTGCACCAGTCACATACCTTCGTTATCTATTCACGTCCCGTAATACCAAATTTGGTATATGCGAAGCTAGCGAAACGGCCGCGAGCGCATCATGAGTGTGGCATGTAGTCATGTTGTTAGATGACACGTATGTCATGATTTTCATGTTAGGCTCTCTCGCTTGCGCTCGACATGTAGTCATGTCATACCATAGCAGTTTTGCAGCATGTCGTGTGAACTAAACCAGCAGAATCAGAGCAAGACCATGAAATGTAAATTAGAAAATACATGTCATGATTTTCATGTTAAGATTAGTCACTTATGCTCGACATACCGTCGAGTCTTACCATACCACTTTTGGTATTAATACAATTAGTGGAATGGCCAGGAGAGCTAAACGTCGTAGGTGGCCAGATAGATAGATAGATAGATAGATAGATAGATAGATAGATAGATAGATAGATAGATAGATAGATAGATAGATAGATAGATAGATAGATAGATAGATAGATAGATAGATAGATAGATAGATAGATAGATAGATAGACAGACAGACAGACAGACAGACAGACAGACAGACAGACAGACAGACAGACAGACAGACAGACAGACAGACAGACAGACAGACAGACAGACAGACAGACAGACAGACAGACAGACAGATAGATAGATAGATAGATAGATAGATAGATAGATAGATAGATAGATAGATAGATAGATAGATAGATAGATAGATAGATAGATAGATAGATAGATAGATAGATAGATAGATAGATAGATAGATAGATAGATAGATAGATAGATAGATAGATAGATAGATAGATAGATAGATAGATAGATAGATAGATAGATAGATAGATAGATAGATAGATACGCTCAATGTCACCGAACTGCGCGAAGAAATGCTTCTCATTTAATAGCAAAGTTATGTGTCATTTCTTTCCCCGTCCGCCGCATTTTGGGCCCTTCTGGCGATTAATTGCGTCACGACGGCCCGCCGGCCGAGATGAGTACGAGACTGTAGTCATAGTGTAAATGTAACAGCATCAATGGAATATTTTCTTCTTTTCTCATTGCTTATTTTAGCATCGAATGTATACGTCCAAGCACGTGGTTACTTTGTGATTTATTGTTTGTGGTACAAATTAAGAATATTCTTTTTTCGAGAAGCTGCAGGCGTGTGGCAGGAATAAATACTCTTTGCTAAGGACTCGCAAAACTTGCTGAGCGTGGGTGCGTTTGCAATCTCTCCGAATAATCCACACTATACAGGACTCACGTAATGAACCGGCCACGAACGAACTAACGAATGAGTGAATTTTAATTTTCGAATGTGCAATAAACTAGGATGAAATAAAAGCCATGAAGAGACGGCTTCGTATCCCTCATCTCCCTGACAAGGCACAGCTTATACTTATAGCCCCAGCTTCATATTCACATGAGATGTACCGGTGGTCGGCTCTGTTCACTATGTACCGCTACATGGGCAAACTACTCCTACAATACAATACATTCGCTCGAGACGTCAAGATGACGTATTTTGAACATTCTTGTTTTGTGTGGATTGACTCATCTGCAGCATTGTTCAGGGAGAGACACACAGAGCGTGTCTACTAAGCACTTGCTTCTCTGAACTAACACACGTGTCTCCTCGTTTTAAATGCGAAACGTTTCTTAGTGAACTTTGGTGACTTTGAGCGTATCTATCTATCTATCTATCTATCTATCTATCTATCTATCTATCTATCTATCTATCTATCTATCTATCTATCTATCTATATATCTATCTATCTATCTATCTTTCTATCTATCTCTCTATCTATCCATCTATCTAGTCGCCTACGGCCTTTAGCTTTCCCGGCCGTTTCGTTAATACTATCAATACCAAATTTGGTATGGAAAAAAATGAATGTATGACGAGCATAACCGACTAGCCATAACATGAATATCAGGGCATGTGTGTCATGAATATCATGATTTACATTTCATTATCTTGTTGCTCTTGCGGTGGTTTCGTTCACATGATATCTGGCGAAACGCGTATGGTATGACATAAATGCATGGCGAACACTAGTGACAGACGTGGTAATCATGACATGCATGCCATGTAAATCATGAGTCATGACTACACGCCACGCTCTTAATGTGCTCGCAGACGTTCTCGCTAGCTTCACATATACCAAATTCAGCATTACGTGATGCGAATGGATTATGAAGGTATGTGACTGGTGCAAACATGATAATCATGACATGCATGTCATGTAACAACATGACTACATGCCACACTCATGATGCCCTCGCGGCCGTTTCGCTAGCTTCATATGTACCAAATTCAGTATTACGTGAAGGAAACGAACGACATATGTAAATGGGATGTCCAAACATGATAATCATGGCATGCGTGTCATGTAAAAACATCACTACATGTTGCACTCATGATGCGCTCTGGGCCGTTTCGGTAAATTCACATATGCCAAATTTGGTATTACGTCACGTGAATGGATCACGTCACTGGTATAAATATAATTATGAGATGCGTGTCATGTAAGAGCATGACTACATGCCACACTCGAGGCGCCAATTCAATTAGACGTGACCCGGCGCGCGTGTGCTACAGGGTTCGTTTCGTCGCGTCATGCCAGCGATGCCACGCCAGGCGCCGATCTGCCTGGCATATACTCGCAGGCACGCGCCGCATTGCGTTGCTTTGACGCATGCGCGTTTGAGTCCGCCCGGCGTCCGTCCGTCACGAAGGTAGGCAGACGCGGTGCATTATGGGTAACGTCGTCGGCGTGAAATGTACCATGTCGCATTTCACGCCGGTTGCCGCCGGGCCGCGCCGAGGGACCCTGGTCACGCCTGGCGTCAGACTATGTAGTGCTGGCGTTTTGCTAACATAGCGTCGCTCTGCCCAGCGTGCACACGCGTCAAGGTTACGTGGGAGTACATTGGGTGCTTCATGATGCTCTCCCTGCCGTTTCGCTAGCTTCACATATACAAAGTTTGGTATTACGGGACGTGAATGGACAACGAAGGTATATGACTAGCGCAAACATGATAATCATGAGATGCGTGTTATGTAACAACACGACCACATTCCACGCTCATGATGCGCTCGTGGTCGTTTCTCTATCTTCACGTATACCAAATGCAGTACTGCATGACGTCAATAGACGACGAAGTTAAGTGACACGTGTGAACATGATAATCATGATATGTGTGTCATAAAACATGACTACGTGCTACGCTCATAGCCTGCTCGTGGCCGTTTCACTAGTTCCTCATATACCGAATTTGGTATTACGTGATGTGAATGAATGATGAATCTAAAAGACACGTCCAAACATGATAATCATGAAATGTGTGTCACTTAAAACTGGACTACATGCTATGCTCATAGCGCGCTCGCGGCAATTTCGCTAGTTTAACCTATACCAAATTTGGTATCAGGTGGCGCGAATAGTTGATGAAGGTAAATGACACACCAAGACATGATAAGTATGAAATAGAAGTCATGTATGGCATAATTTACTTCTACATCGTAACGTTGTGCTGATTTTAAACTGACATATAAACCTTCCTCATTCGTGCTTGGCATATCATCGATTCCTACTGTACGTGGGATCTGCCCTTTTTTTTTTTTTGCTATCAAGAAGCAAACCTAACGCCGATGCTTACGAGCACTTTGTAGTGGGTGACACAGTAGTACCGCCGCGTTGGTCAAGTGGCTAAGGTTCTCGGCTGCCGACCCGCCGAACGCGGGATCGAATCCCGGCTGCGGCAGCTGCATTTTCAATGGAGGCGGAAACGATGTAGGCTCGTGGGCTCAGATTTGGGTGCACGTTAAAGAACCCCAGGTGGTCGAAATTTCCGGAGCCCCTAACTATGGCGTCTCTAACAATCATGTGGTGCTTTTGGGAGGTCAAACCTAAATATCATTCAATCCATGGGTGACACAGTATTCCAGCGTTGAATGAATTTCTCCCTTACATTCCTTGTTTCCAACACGTGCACAGTTTGCTGCGGTGAAAGCATCGCACCGCTGTCGCTACTTCGAGAGCCTGGCCCTGTCCCGGCTGCTGCAGCACGTCACCGAGACCGTGGATGCGCTGAGCAGCGTGCGGACGTACGGCGTGGTGGACCGCTTTGCCCGCCACTTCTTCCGGCTGACGGACGCGGTGATGCGAGGCTATATTTGCTTCGGCGCCACCTACGGCTTCGTGCGCATGCTGACGTCGGCGGCCGGGTTTGTTGTGGTCGTGTGCACTCTTCTGACGACCGTCGTCTTCGCCGGGCCCGGCGGGCCTGACCCGGCCAGCTTGGGCCTCGCGCTTAGTGCGGCTACCTCGGTGCGTCAGCGTTCTATTACTGCATCTGTTGTAACCCCTGCGAAAGTGAATGACGCGTCAAGTTTGTTCGATAATGGAATGTAACACTTTTTATTGATTAAGGCTGGCATAACTTAACAAGCAGAGGAGGTGTGAAAATATGATAAAGCAGCACAACGCGTTCTGCAGATGAACACGTGGAGTACAATCGCAAAAAAAAAAAAGTTTGAGGTAAAAACTGCCACTTCTTAAAAACACTCATGCGCATAAATGTGAGAAGGAAGCGACCGAAAATTCATGAATTTCCATCTGCGTCGGAGGGTTGAATGAATAAAGTATCAAGATCATCTCCTAAATATTCCAATTCTGACCATGTAACTTCCGAAGCATCGCACAGACCTTAATTTGCATCGCTTGTAGGGGGTACACATCTTTTTCTGGGGGCTCTGGAGCCTCTGGGCCGCCGGAGCCTGTTCTTATATCTCGTTTGGCATCACCGTTCACTCGTCATTAGTTGTAACATAGCGAAACCCGCAGCTCTGTTTAGCGATGACAATAACCATGTTGGTGGGTACGTATGTTCAATCTAAAAGTACGTTCGACATCAAGAAGAAACCTAGTCTAACGCAGAACTGGAACATGAATTTTCAATGCTCTCTTTCAAAGAGTAAAAAAGTAACGCGTATCGTAGAGGTACATGTCTGTGAGCTTGGACATAATTTCTGTTTGTGGATAGTTGACCTACTATCACTTCTATTTGGCCAAAATATATTTGTCATTTACTTGCCTTTCTCAAAAGGCGTGTTTATGTAGCATAACCAGTTGTATTTACATGACTGAGCCACGTGTGCTCGCTGTGTGTGTGGTCAACACCAAATTACAATTGCTTGTGTTTGCCACTATGGCTAGAAGATGATAAATTTGAGTTTCCAGTACGTTTATTAAACGGGATATTTGAGGCGAAATCTTTGTAGATAATTATGCACACAGAAATCACCTTATATTGCTGCTTCGAATTCGTGGCATCTGCGGTACGCACCCATTTATCACACGAAGTGGCTCATGGGGAATGGACAGTGGATGCGAAGCCATGTCCATGCCTGCAATACGCGCCAAAGGTGGCGTAGCGTTTAATGCGAGGCTGGATTAACAACATATTTACCAATATTTACAATGTCCCTCAATATGCCACTCGTTCACTCGAGGGCTGCACCGTGGCCTCCGTGATCAGCAGCGCTGCAGGAGCCCATGGCAGCGGCCATGAATTCAGAATGTACGACTCGTGTTCTGAATACAGGTTGCGGGCGACTGACTGCGGCACGCTCATGTTGGAATCAGGACATGAACATGCGATGAAATAAGACGATTCCGCCATTGGGCAAAATATATGACGTGAATCTTTGAATCCCCAAGATACAAAGGTTGTATCCTCAATATCTGTAGGTTACGACTTTACAGACTTTTCCTGTCGTGTAAGGCTGTTGCCATATAACGATTTATACGTAACTGAATCTTGTAATAAAAAGCCATCGTTAACTATGCGAAGGCGTTCCGTCTCTATGTAGCACTAGAGACAGCCCATTAAAACACCAGGCTTGCTGTTACTGAAATGACGAGAAAGGCATTAGCATTTCACTCCGCCATTGTGGTGACCGATATCCCTCACTTTCAATCCTTAACAGATTCCTCTGTCACTGATGTCGCTGTGCGTCATGCTGTTCAACGTTCTTCAAATGATTGTTGCGTTCGAACGCTGTGTGGAGTACACTGAACTTCCTCCTGAGGTAAGTAAATCGGAGCGTGAGGCGCTCTTGAAAATATTTGTTACTGGTTCCGTTCATGTGTGTATGAGTGTGGAGTTTTCAGCACTCTCGTTGCTTCATTAGCAAATCAACAAAGCATGCGTTACCACTTGTTAATGGCGAATAAAGTCTGTTCTTCTTCAATAAACATTTAAAGCTCAGTGCAACACAGGTTTACCGAGCATTATATCGCTTAGAAAGAAAATTATCTTGTCTCTATCGCATCTCACGTAAGCACCCTCCAAGTTTTATATAATAACTTTGCTAATTTTACACGACATCCTAAGTATAATCAGCCACGCAGTAAATAACCTGCGAACTTGGGAGAAAGAAACAAGATTTAGAGAACACTCGAGCATCATTTCAATCATTACACCACAAAACAATTGTATTAGTTTTCACATTTGGTTTATATAGTGTCCCACTTCAATAACTCCGAAAAAGACTAAATTATTTGCTAAGGGAATTGACATACAAAGCTCAAGTAAACTGTTGGACAGTGCGAAAATTTCGGCAATGACCAGGGGTCACGTCTGCTACATATTGAACTTTGTTCAACAGTACTTCCCGAAAACGACAAGAAGTTTATACATCTTTTAGCTCATAATCCAACAGTAGTTTATTACTACAGAAGTTTCCTTCAATAGTACATTTTTCAAATCGTACGCTCTACTAGCGGCATTATTAACGACTTTAGAGCATGGTTGCACAGCTGCTGCGTACGGTGAATCGAAGACACTTATGCACCGTGCGTGCTAACAGAGTCATTATACAATTATTACAAAGATATAGAGTTCTAAAGTCATTCCGGCCTAATCTTGAACATAAACAAAACGTATGGTTATTATTTGTATTCTATCAATTATATACAGGTTTAAAATTGTCTGCCATGTGCGAGCTGTCTGGTCCGTCACAAGTAACGTATTGTATTCTCCTTAGTTCTCGTTATTTTGCGTGTTTAACATCTTGAGAAATACTGCACTGCCGTACATTGAAGTAAACTGGTAATATCATGCAAAGCTTCGGAAATTTAAAATATTATCACATCATTTCGAGCGTTCCGAAATCAGAACTCACCAAAACTTAGTAAGAGCTGGTGCTACTTGCATATTCTCTATCTCAGGTGGACGTCCCAGAAAACGACAACGGTAGTGGTGTACCAACACTCGAATTACCACCTGGTTGGCCCAGCTCGGGAATGATCGAGTTCCAAAATTACTCGGCTTCTTATCGTCCAGGTGTGCTTCCCGACGTACTCAAGGACGTCGCACTCGTCGTCAAACCGATGGAAAAGGTGCGTATACCTCGTAGACACGCTCCCTTTGAGTGTCCCCGCGTAAGCTCGTCGTTTGCTTCAACGCATGTCGTTTGCGATAAGACTCACGTTTTGTACAAAAGCTTTGCACAAAGAGTTCTGTGAAGAAATGTAATTAGGTCACAACCTAAATTTACTTGCAACAACACTGACTCTATCAAAACATCATTTACGGCCAAAATATTTGCTGTTCCCGCTGTTCTATCAACCTTGATTAACTCCCTCCCTTCTGTTCGACTCTTTTTAAAGACGATAGTCTTTCTTGGGGACCTTCGACGCAAAACTTTTGGTCTGTCTGTCTGTCTGTCTGTCTGTCTGTCTGTCTGTCTGTCTGTCTGTCTGTCTGTCTGTCTGTCTGTCTGTCTGTCTGTACAATTGTCTGTTTGTCCGCTCTTAACGGCATCGGTTACTTGAAACGGCCGACCCCACCCACAGCACCAACCTATGTTCCTCAAGCTTGAGCGTTCATGCTTGTGCAATTGTCAATTAAAAAGCAATTATTGCGCGTGTCTGGGGCACCCTAACAACACGTATATATTCTGTGTGTGAGCCTTTTACTAGAAAAGGCAACCATAAGTAATTTTAAGGATCGTAGCGCTTATCATTGTGCGCTGACCATGTAACGCTTGCACGGAAAGACGAGTCTTTCCAACGCTTTGCTAAAACAAGACAGTGGTGGCACCTACCCGTCGCCTTGCGTTCTGCACCTTATCACCTCTGAGATGGGCGCGCACACCCGTCTCAGAGCCACGCGCTTTGTTTTCTAAAAAACTGCCAGATGGCGCTTATGTCTCACGTGTGACGTGACTTGATGCGTTCGTTCGCTTCCGCTGCACGCTCGAGGCACTCTAACGCAGCGCCTCCAGAATACCATTCACCGATTTTCTTGCGCAGAACATCAAATAAATGTCTTGTTCACTCTCTCTACACGGAAGACTATCGTCTGTCGACGACACTTGCAGATTACATGCAGATACGGGGCCATTTTTTTTTGCCATTCTGCACGACTATTCGGCCTGTGAGTATAATTTCATTGTCGGGGCGAGACGCGCGCTTGACGTTGAATTCGCCTAGGCTAGCGACAACATTGCTCGGCAAATCTTTAGCACTGCGACCTTATTTTGGGCGCCTACGTGGCGAATGTTAGCCTAAAGGACGTCAAATTGATTGATTTGTGGGGTTTAACGTCCCAAAACCACCATTTGATTATGAGAGACGCCGTAGTGGAGGGCTCCGGAAATTTTGACCACCTGGGGTTCTTTAACGTGCACCCAAATCTGAGTACACGGGCTTACAACATTTCCGCCTCCATCGGAAATGCAGCCGCCGCAGCCGGGAATCGAGCCCGCGACCTTCGGGTCAGCAGCCGAGTACCTTAGCCACTAGACCACCGCGGCGGGGCTAAAGGGCGTCAAAACAATGTGCATAAAGCTTACACAGAAACACGGCCTGAATCATGCGCAGTATATATGAAGAAAGCAGATTGGGCGACGAGAAACTAATATAAGGTGATGGGTTAAAAACAGTGCAAAAAAACATAATCTTCAATAAATGTCTCACATGCATGACTACTTAACATTGACGTGCATGGTGGGGTTATTGACGCTATAAAATGCGATGAGCTGTTTGAACACGAAGAACACGAAAATGACAGGAAGGACACACACGAGCAAGGATAGAACTCACTGGTTTCCTGCCTGTCATTTCCGTGTTCTTCTTCGTGTTCAAACAGCACGTCGCAAGTGTAAACAATGTACAAGCAACTAGCCCCTATTTTAGCCCTTCTAGTGGGTGGTGGGTTATTGGTACTTTTCAAAGGACTGTCTACCGTCCATTATTGATCTCCTGTTTCAGTCACAATAAAAAGCGTACCATGTGAAGTGTCTAACCTTAAAGCGGTTTCTCTGGAAAGCGCGCGAAAATTTTTCTGTCCGCGTTATGTCTCCTTCCAGAGGTGGGATGAATGCCCATAACACTGGTCGGTGCCGGTGAGAGTCAAAAACTGAAACCAGGTGTGGTTTCTGCTGGCTTCATCAAGTTTGGTTATTATTAAAACTAATATCTTAGTGGTCGTTTTAGTCACACACACTTTTTTTGTTGTTCTCATGAGCAGTGGCGGACGCCGGGACTAGTACACGCTACCGTGGTCGTATTACTTAGAAGTGTGGCAGTTTGGGCTAGTTGGTATGACATGACGATAGTTATAGCACGAAAATGTCATTCTTGTCTCTTTTTCATCGTTCTGTTCTCGCGCTTTACTATCATAAGGTCATCTTAAAGTCTTGGAGGAAGGAAAAAACTTAGGAGAGGCCCTGACGTCACTCGTTGTGAAGTCTTGGTGAAGGCGGAAGTTGGCCATATTGACTGGGCAACTTCTCCAATCTTGTTTACATCCGAATGTAAAGCAGAAGATTGGATGGATCGATTGATGGATTGATATGGCTGTACCCTTTAGATCGGGTGGTGGCTCCCGCCCCCAAGCCATGATACTTAGTGAACCAAAAACTAGATTATTTTTTTTCCTTTATATAGTGAGGTTGAGGACTGGTACTTTGCAGTGAAGGGCTGAATTTTCACTCATGCATTCATTTTAGCCACCAATCAGATAACCTCCTTCCAGTTAATACTACGCGCTTAAAGTCTATTTTGCCCTGCCTGTCCCTAAACCCCAGTGCTTTGAAAAACTTCGTGCCATCATCCTGAATTACAGGGTGAAGCCCTTCATCAAGTGTTCGGCAGTTTTCTCCTCCTCTCCACACCCACTGCATACCGTGTCCACCCCTTCGTATTTGGCGCGACTGCTGGCAGCGCCACCGAGCGCCTATTTGAGCACGTGAAAAAAAAATTGATCTCTGCTGCAATCTAACGCTGCCTCAAGTGCATAAAATACAATATCAAGGTAAATTTGTTTCTTTTTAAGCGAACTAACTTGACCTGCAAGAATTCCTTCTCCTACCAATAGATCGTTAAGGTTGACCACATTCGCTGTTGGGTGACGCTAGCATTCACTATTTATCGACTTTAACATCAAGTAAAAATTATAATTCCTTGTTTCTGGCCCGATAACATGCTCCTTGCCACTAATGTGATGAACGATCTTTTCTTTTGCGCCACAACCATAAAAAGTTTTCCGAGTGGTAGACATTTCCTTTAAACACCTCATAGCGTTTTGTTTAATTCGGCCTTGAATTTCGATACTAAATTGACCTGAAGAAAGCAGAGCTGATTGTTACGGCTGGGTGAACAACACGATTGCATAGAGGTATCATTTATTACGAATAAAAGCGAAGGCGCATTATCAACGACGCGTCCGCAATTCAATAAACGGTAGCTTCAACCATCCTTACTTCCCTTTTCACCAACGGCACGTTAAAAGGAAGGTGCAATGCACAGCACCTCATTCACACACGAACAGCTAGCCGAAGTTTCTACAACTAACGTTCCAGGTAGGAGTGGTGGGACGCACCGGTGCTGGCAAATCTTCGCTGGTTCTCGCCCTGCTGCGCATGCTCAGGTCATCCGAAGGACGGATCCTCATCGATGGCGTCGACATTGCCAAAGTGCCACTTCGGAAGCTGCGCAGAAGCATCACAGTTATCCCGCAGGTAACCACATGAAATTTGTACATACAAAAGCGGTTATGAGATACAAGGGTCGCTTTTGTTGCCGTCGCCGGTGTCCGTAAGTGCTATCGCACAAAAAGTACCTAAATAAATAAATAAAAAAGCATTGAGGATAGATTGGGATTCGAACCCGGGGTTCTCTGCGCACCAAACCAGAATTCTATCACACTGATGCTTGAAACACTATTGCAAAGTGACCCTGTATAACAGGCTTCGTGTAGGCTAAGGAATCGCTTTATTATGTGTAATACAGCGTTTTAGAACTGCGAGCGTCACACGATGTAATTGTGTATCGAGGGGGTGGTGGAATTTTCCAGCCACGGACAAAATCCTCAGGCATAATTACTCATCGTCGTCACCCACAGCGTCTACAAAATGCACGTAACTTCTTGGGGTGTGTGGCGGGTACCACGCTTCTCTGAATACTGGCATAGTGGATTTCTGCCAACTACAGAACATTTTTTTATGATTTATGGTGCAGTAGGTGTGCAAGCATGCCTGTAGCAGTTACCTAAAGAATGTCTTAAAAATGTTCGGAAAGGCCACTCTTCCAGCTTTCGCTGTGACTATACTGCGCGTTACGTGCGCGCCTGGCTTTTTTTTTCATTTTTCTTTTCTTGTTCATTCTCTAGTTTTTGTTTTTTTTCTTACTTTTATTGTTTTATTTTGTTTTCAATTTTTTACCTTGCTTTCCTTTTTTTATTTCTCCCTGGCTTTCCCTTTTTGAAGGTTCTCATATGACACATATGCCTCGTATTCAATAGTGTCTAATGAACACGTATGAATCGGGTGTGCTGTCGTATTATCGTACGAGATTATCGAACATCTGTCGTACGTGTCATATCGCATTTTTCTGTAGAGTTCCTCTGCGTTAGGCCAAGCGACAACAGCATACGACAGCACACGATGGCTCTGGCCCATGAAATGCTGCACACTTCGTATCACCACTAAGGCGCTCTAAGAACATGAGGGAGAAGATTTCTCTTCGGGCCGTGCACGCACTCAACATCTGAAGCGTTTTATCTTCAGTACCTTTGGCAAAATTGATAGTGCTCCTCTAGGAGGGCGGAAATATCAATTACGAGACTACAATGCCGAGACCCCATTGAATTTTTGCCTACACAGGTTTGGTTTCGTACAGTCATCCTTATATGCATCCACTGCAACGAGAGTGAATCTCTGCATTACTTCTTCTTAACATGCAGGGCGTACTTGCAAATCAAGGGAAAAGACTGAAAAACCATTCAGTATGTTGGCTTTAAATATATCCCTTCCAGTGGTCCTTTCCTTTGGAGTAACTGGAAAGATAATCAGCTACAGGTTTGTTTGCGAAGCCGTGGGCGATTTTTCAAGTGAAAAGAAAACGAACACAATCATCAAGCCAAGGCGTAAATTCCCTTTGTTTGCAACCCATTTTGCTTGTAGGGTTTTCTCTTCTTTTCCTTTATTTATTCTATTTTCAATCCATTTCAATTCATTTATATTTTCAATCTAAACGTATTTGGCTGGTCCGAATTTCCGGAGCCCTCCACAAGGGCGTCTATCACAATTATGCGGCGGTTTCGGGACGCCGAACCCCACATGTCAATCAAACGTATTCTTCTGTATAAACAATTTTATTTAAAAGATAAGGCAGCGTGCGTTTCGTGGCTGATCCACCGTGGTTGGTTGGGCCAGGACATTAATGAACAACAAACCAACCAATATGCTACAGATCACTACGCTATACATGGTCTGGCGCGCGTTAGGCCAAGCGATGACAGCACATGACAGCACGGGCCACCGAACTGATGCGCCCTTAAAACTTCAGCGCATCTAAGAACAACTCATTTTTCGTGAAAGCGAGGCTAGGCGCTTACATTTTTTTTCGGAAATTATGATTGATTTCGTACATACCCTCAACTAAGTACAAAGTGATGCTCCCTATTGCTGCCATTTTTAGCTAGAGAGAATTAGAACTTCGCATCTCATCGCCCGGTTGGTTCATGCTTTCCAGTGCTTCACAAACATCAGATGAAAATGTTTCACGCAAAAGCTCTTTCGGCATAATGAGTGTCGACAACGTAGCTCCAACCTTTCTATTCCCTTCTCTCCCCGCGTAGGTTAGCATACCTGGTACAACCTTGTTAAAGGGGCCATCTAACGCTATTTAGCCCCTACTCGGGGTTTGCGCATATAAAGTACTAATACATTACTCCAGCAATAATGGCGGTGATAACGGGACGCAGTGCGAAGTTATTTGATGTAGAAAATTTAAAATACAAGGAGAAAATGCCTGCCCTCAACTTGATTTTCGCGCAACTTGATTTTAACCCTCCCTGACCGACCCGGTAATGTTGGCGAGCTCACACCAATGAAACAAGCTGGAAACGCTTACGTCGGGTAACCTCGTACACCATTGTTGCTGGCCCTTTTCAATATATTGTAGACCTCGTTGGCATAATAAAAAAAACGTCGTGCCTGACACCTGATTCTTCAGAACACGAGCAGGTGTTACTGTTTATAATCGAGGTATTTTCTGCTGTTTACAACGTTCCATGTCACGCCTCCCTTTTATTCTTGGGAGAAGAATTTGTGAAACTACCAGGGTGGTGACGTATTGTCGACTCTTTACGAGTTGTTCAGTGAGTCGCCCGACGAACTACGAGGGTGCAGCGACGTACTTGTTCTACGATGCTTGCGCACCTTGATAGCACACCTTCAAAAACAATCATAAATCTGTCAGACGTGCGAAAGAGGCAGCTCACAACCGCACATAAGCGAAAAATTGGAAGCGTGAGAGAGGCCTTTTGTGGGGGCACAAAAGCATAGCAACCAAACATTCCAAAGGTTAGCCAGCGCCTCTATGTGCTTCGTAGTCGTGGTGATCTTTTTTTCTTAAGGCCGCGTTTATCTGGAGTTAATGAAAAAGCACGAGAAATAAAAATGCAACCCGTTAGTAATCGTAGTTCCGATGGCACGCCACAATCTCTTTTAACGCTACATTTATCCGATCGATCATAGGCTTGCCCCTATCCTCAGTCATTTTCGCCCACAATAGTTCTGACGAGCGCAGCTACGTGCTGATGCTGTCGGCAGGGATGTATATAGTGACCTCACTGCTTGATTAAAGTATAAATCATTTGGTATAAGTGCTTAGATCTAAGCTAAAACACTTCCCAGCCATGACTTTACGCAAAGCACCTAATAAACTGGTGCTTCAAAAGTGGTGGACGGCCTTTTTAAGCTCTCTACCCTCCATCGACGTTGTCTCTTTCTCGTCGCAAGTTTCATCATCTCAGTGTTGAACTGTATCCGAACCTTGAAATGTTTCACTTCACCTCGACATGCATAGTCACTTCTTTTTTGCAATCGATGAATGTACACCACACGCCGACAAAAATACCGGCAGGACCGGAATAGGCTCTATTCAGGAGACTAGCCTGCGCATGCGCAGCGGCGGTGACGTCACGTACGCCACAACTTTTGGGGATCGCTGGGCGGCAAAATTTCAAATGATCACCAAAAATACACGGCCCTCGATTCTTTCTACTGACAACTTTGAAGGCCACTGACCCCCGTTCCGATTTCAGCAATCTTCACTGGAAGCGCTGTTCGGAACTAAAAAAGTCCCATTACCGCATCGCGTAGCTATGACCAGCTTTAGGGCAGGATAAAAGGAGATCGCATGTGCAGGGATTGCCAGTAGTAAAGGCCAGTAGGTTTAGGGGCGAAGCTCTCTATATGGTTTAGGGCAATTCCTCATCCATCTGGTGCACCCAGTACCGTCTCCCATATAGTACAATAGATGGCGCTGTCCAATAGAGACAGACAGACAGACTTTAAGCGGGTAGAATTAACCAGAAGGAGGTTATCTGATTGGTTGCTAAAGTCAAGGCACGAGTGAAAATTAAACCCTTCACTGCAAAGTACGAGCCCTCAACCTCACTATTTAAAGGGAAAAAAATAAATCTAGTTTTTGGTTCGCTAAGTACTACGCTTCGTGGCGTTAGCCACCGCCTGATCTAAAGGGTATAGCCATAGCAATCCATCCATTCAATCCAGACAGACAGACAGACAGACAGACAGACAGACAGACAGACAGACAGACAGACAGACAGACAGACAGACAGACAGACAGACAGACAGACAGACAGACAGACAGACAGACAGACAGACGGACGGACGGACGGATGGCTGGATGGACGGATGGACGGATGGATGGATGGACGGACGGACGGACGCTTCGCCCCACTAATCATAATTCACTCCGTCGATATGCTCCAATTTTTTTACTGCACCTGACCAGTAGTTTTTATATACCGCTCTGGAACTCATCATCATCACTTATCGCTAAAGCCTTAGATGGTAGCATCAGATGCGGAAATCGTGCGGTATCCCCTGTTAGTGGTGCGTACACTAGTGTTGCAAGAAAATGTTGAAGAGATGACGTAATCATATCAGCTCATCATGACGCCAACATGACGTCAGTACGATGGCACGTAACGGGACGCGACAGGCTGACACCATCGCCTGATATCCTTACTGCGCTTGTATAGTACGGTACACTTAATTCATTGCATGTTTAACAAAACAGTTGCATATGACTATAGGTTCCAGCAGCTTCTCGTTCGTGGGCGTCTACAAGAAGAACCATCCCATGAACTAAAATCTCTCAAAATTATGCATGAAAAATCAATGACACTTCCTCGCTTCATTATTATGCTGGGGAAAGAAAAAGACACTGGCTTCGTATTCTTGACGTAATATTCACAAAAGCAGCCTGTTACTTCTAACTTGTAATCCTCCAACTAGGAACGTAATGTTGGATGTCTAGCACTCTCGGTGCCACCAAACACAAGCAAAAAAACGTCGCATATTCTCTGTTTTCCTATCCGCTTTGAACAACATCAGCGCAACAATAAATAGATGGATAGCTCTGAGAAAAGTTTCGGCAGCGTGATGAAACACCAAGTTAAAGCAAATTATACACGACGACAAATGAACGCCCACGTATGAGGGCTACTACCAGAAAAGTCAAGGAATATGGAGTCACGTCCAATTCATCGCGGCACAGCTCATTGGCGCCAGTTTCTGTGTCCAGTGGCGTCATCGTCGTTGGCACAACTGGTAGAGCAAACGAAGACGAAAGAGAGCGAATGCGGAGTCTGTTCATTTCACCATTTCACAAGCCACTGGCCTCGCTCTCTTGCTCCATCACTGGAGCTTGCTCCTCGGTCGTAGAATATATGCTTGGGTTGCGCGAAAAAACACGTGCGAAGGAGGATACACAGTACGAGCTCAAGCTTCACCGGCAAAGTGGAAAGCCAAAGCAGCTCAACATGAATAGACATCAGCTTGCTACGTGCTCATATATTAAAACAAAAATGTACAAAAAAGATACCGTACGCATTAAAACCTACAGTCAAAACGCCAAATAAACAGTTGATAGTAATATGAAATCTAACAATGATCGTCAAAGGCGTGTGCACACGCTGCAAACTGTAAAAAATGAACTGTTCAACAAAACCACTAGGTTTGATCACACAAAACCATCTAAAGTTGCAGCTGCTTAGGCAGTAAAGTCAGCGCAGTCATCTTACGCATTTGTCACTTCAATCAATGAAGTAGGCCTCCACTACCTCGCTTTCCATTTCTTCTTTATACTTCGATTAGTCTATCCCTTGGGTTCGGCGTACGCCCGCACTGCCTACAGTGCAAATCCAGGCGGTCACTCGTTCTAACCACGTCATTGGTTTGTCAGTGCGCTAACATGCATGTTCTGCACCGTGCTGTAACATAACTAAATGTCTATTCATTTTCCGCGTCATTTCATGAAGACTGCTTTATCGGCCTTAGACCAGAGGTCCCTGTCTCGTGTTGATCCTACTTTCGCGAATTGTCGGCATGTCGCTTTTTCAAGAAGCATTCTTGTCTTCTAGTTGAAAGATTCCGGACGAAATGACCACGTCCTCAAGACACTCAAGGCTTGACGCAATGTGTGCTGCAGTTTTGCGTCGGGTACTCACCGTGTACAAGAGTTCACACGAAGCGGACGTGAAAGGTGTAAATGCTTTCCCACCTATGCTATGTGCCAGCTCATATATCAAGCTGAAGTATACACATAAACTGAACGCGTGAACGTCATGACCTGCCTCGAAACTAAGGCAGCCCTGAACCTTCCTTGTAGCCTAAGCACAGCAAAAGTTTTTCAACTGGGCATGTGCAACACCCTTACTGAGTAGTGGACGCACACCTTCAAACGCAGTATTTATCTCTCCGCAAGTGCCACTATACTCTTAGAAAAAAAGTGGTAGTACTTGCTAACTTTGGGGTAGTAATGGTTTGTCACATATGTTACAACCCTGGTAGTAAGCGCAGTTAGTAACGGCAAGGGTGGTAACAGTTACTACCTCTGCTGTTACTACCAGCAGTTAGTAACTGTTACTACACTAGCTGTTACTACCCATGGGTAGTAACTTTTAGAGGTTTCAAAAAAAGTAGTAACCGATTCTTCTTAATTCATTACTTTGGGCATATTGCTCCGCTGCTAATGTTCGCTAATCAATGCCTTATTACTAGACAAAGTCGGGTATAAAGCGTGGTGTGCCATGAATATAGACCAAACAGGTTCACTATTTTTCATGTATTTTTTTAGGAAATTTCAATTTCTATCGAACTGTTACTGCGTTTTTGTTGTGCTTGTGGTTTGATGTACGCACCTATAAACAGGCAATAAAGCAAGAAAAAACTATTTTTCACGTACACATGCAGTAAGAAGTAAGCGTGGGGTATATATAGCCCCTACTTCGCAGGGGCATGTCTGGCACAGAGGAGCACTTGCATTTCAGGAGGAATTATAAGTAACACAAACCTATAGCACTGTACTACTTGGTTACATGTGTTTGGTGACGTAGCACAAGACCTTTATTCAGCCTTACTTATACAACATTATATGATATATTTTTCTGTTATAATATGGCCACAAAAAGGCATTGTGTACAGTGGCCGGAACAAGGTACCGAACTCATTGTCAGTGCATTTGAATGCTTCACACGACTAATATATCAGCGTTTAAAAGGTAATAATCGTTTTGGGGGTTTGACGCACCAAAACAATGATGATATTTGGAGACACACCGCAGTGGAGTAACTGTTCTGTCCTCAAGGCTCATTGTGACCATCTGGTCATTTTGATTTGCCGGTCTTGTTAATGTTTGCTGTAATTTACTAAGTTTGTCGTAATTGTCTATTACGGCACGTGTAGCACTTGATTATGGTTCGTTAACTTGTACTTATTCGTTTAGACAGTATAAGAATGAAGTTTACATATGACGGTTGAGTAATTTAGAACGAAATGTATTTTCTTGATCTGTGTATACCTTCTGCGTCATTTTTCCGTTTATTGATAATACGTTGAGACGATTCCTCTCATCAATGATCAGAATCGCATTCACACACTATTTTGGATTAGATAGTGAAAATTCGGGTAGCAAAGAGGTAGTAACGGGGCAAGAAAGGTAGTAACGGCTGCAGTTACTACCTCTTTCATTTCAGTTTCTAACTGCATACTAACGTAGGTAGTAAAGAGGTCGCAAAATGTTAGTAACGGTATCAGCTAGTAACTGTTTACTAACGTAGGTAGTAAACAGGTAGCAAAAGGGTAGTAATGGTCAAAGAAAGGTAGTAACTGCTGCAGTTACTACCTATTCGCTTGCAGTTGCTACCTTTTTACTAACCATATTACCGCCTCCTTTCGCATAAACATAACCACTTATCAGCAAAGCATTACGGCCCGGCCTCGATACATTCATGCCTCTCTAGCCATCAAACACCTACCTCCCCATGTGCATCCTCGTCATCAAATCACTCGCCACGTAGCTGACGCATATGCCCTTCACGATTGTTACGGACGAGCTTCGAATGCCATTTGGCTAGGCACTTTTTGTGTATCACAAGAAGCTGTAATTTCCTGCCAACCTACTTTGCCCCATGCCCTGATTCGCCGTCTCCCATCAGGCTCTCTGAGGAGGCAGAACACCGCCGCCCTAACCCTTGCTCGATTCGACGCGCAATACGTCCTCACTCATTCAAAAGCTGCTGTGTACCAGGGGCAGGAATCGCTCCCCTGTCTGGCAGTTGAACACCCCTACGCATATTTTACCGAGCATGGTAAAGCGCTCATTCAAGGAACCTCGGAAATCAGGGGCTCATAAATCAACACGAGTGTTGATTTCTTGGCCTCAGGGCAGCATCGATTCAGGCTTCTGGAAGGATCGGGCTCACACTTTTGCAGAGCTCACAGAAATAGCCCGTTTGAAGAGTCGAACTTACTCTCCTCCAGATTTCTCTCTTACCCACTCCCAATAAATCTTAGGGAAACGTTCGCAGATTCGTACTATCTCTTCCCTTCAGGTGTTGTCCCACAACTGTGACACTTCCCCTGAATGCTCTTTATGTGGCGAACTTCATGCCACCATTTCCCACATTCTTTCCGGCAGCCGTGCTGATCCTTCTCCGCAGGGACAGCCTGCCATTTCAAGCTGGGAAACTTGGGAGATCTTGCTCTAGCCTGGGAACTCGGCGTTGCATCTTACTGGTGGTGACTCGGGCTGCCGATGTCATCGCGGTGAGAGGCATGGCCGTTTAGACGTAGCGTGGGACCACGCGAGGGGGGGGAGGGTCCAGGGACCCGAGAGAGTCCCAAATGTGTGTGTGTGTGTGTGTGTGTGTGTGTGTGTGTGTGTGTGTGTGTGTGTGTGTGTGTGTGTGTGTGTGTGTGTGTGTGTGTGTTGTGTGTGTGTGTGTTGTGTGTGTGTGTGTTTGTTTTCGTTCATACAGCAACGTTCCACGTGCATGCTGGTATGAGATGTTATCGCACTTCCACTTTATATGGATCACCGCACCAACGGCAAACTTCTTGGGTTCCTCCATACTGTGTCACGTATTAATCCATGGCAGGAGAAGTCGAGAAGAAAGAAGTGTGCGGGAAATATAAGCCACGGTACGTCTCTCATCCATAGTAATACATATATAACTGATTTCGAAGTAAAGCGATATAGCTGCGAACTTCCCCCATTCAAAACATATACGAGTAGCGTAATTGCGATGCCACAGTCACACAAACTTTAATGATGACTCAGTGCTTACACGTGATTGACTTGTGTCAAGAAATCATTCAACTCTATTGATAAAGTTGAGGATGCCGCTTTAAGTTAGTCTTCCGTGTGGTTTACAAATTGTTTATACTGACACCGCAGGACCCAAGCCTTGTGAGGGGGACTCTGCGAAGAAACCTAGATCCTACAGACAGCCACAATGACGAGGAGATCTGGCAAGCATTGGAACGTTCACACCTGTCCAAGGTCGTGTCGTCAGACGCAAAGGGGCTCCTTCTGGAGACTACCGATGGCGGCACAAATCTCAGGTGAGCAAAGCACTTGGGAAAGAGGCTTTGATTTGAAAAAATCAGGTGCACGATTGGCTGACTCCGGTAGGAAAACTTGAGATAGATTTCCGGTATTACTTGTGAATAACGAGTAATATATTTTGTGAACAATCTCGTAGCATTCAGTTGGGGGATGAAATATTCTAGTATTAGTTTCGAATAATCAGTGGAAGCACTAACACTCTTTTTCTTGCCAATACAGCAACAATACTCATTCTGGTTGTTACAAATGTATTTTATCAGTAACGATTGTGTATGCTTACTAGTGCCATAATATAATAAAAAGTGCGCTGTCCTTCTTGACTGGTTATTCCACTTTGTGAAATTCAACGTCCCAAACAAAGTGATATGCAATGCAATATACCCGCGTACAAGAAAAAGGGAACAATGAAGAACGTATTTACTGATTGAGGAGAGTGATACAGAAGACACGAACCAAAAATCTAAGACCAAAAAAGTTTTAAAGCTTCGATGTTCACGACTAGAGCCCATTTACGTGTTCATTGGCGTCTATGGCCCTAGACCTCCAGCCATAAACCTTTATGGGGCTAGGGTCACAGAGAAGTCTGGGGCTTTGGCCTTAGTAACAGCTCTGGAGAGTAGGCTGCGTAAATAGCCCGAACTCTCCACATGCACTATGCACAACATTCAATTTCGTTTGGCTCGCCTCGTCATGCTCGTACTGATGAGATAAGAAGGAACACCGCCTTCTGCACGTTAGGTGACACATTTAAATCCTGCGGCTGCGCGATCACAGACAGGAACTGATACGGGTGGCACAAATGTCATGTTGCACAGTGTTGGGCAACGGCAGCTGGTTTGCTTGGCACGAGCTCTGCTGCGGAAATCCAAGATCCTCCTGCTGGACGAGGCAACGTCACAAATGGACGGTGACACTGACCGCCTGATCCAGGCCACACTGAGAGACGCCTTCGCCAACTGCACACTCTTCACCATTGCGCATCGCATTCACACTGTCTTGGACTACGACAGGTAAGTTGAGGCGGTGGTAACCACCGGCGTGATTACGTTCGATATGCGGAAATACATGGCTGTTCTATAAAAAAAAAACTCTATGCCTCTTGCTTGTGCATCCAACACAACCGCGTTTTCATGTGTTTGTTGCTGTTGTTGCTGTGAATGATAAGCGTAAAAACGTTAAGGGGTGGTGCCACCATATTTGTGGCTTGCGCGTTCTTTGCTGAAAGGGTGTCTGATAGGTCCAGGAAGCATGTCACACACACTAAAATTCATTTGTTCTCGCTTAATAAGCCTCCTATGCGTATACAATTTTGGGTTTCGGTTTCTGGGCGGCGAGTTGGGAGTAATGTAGTAGTGTAGGTGGTTACGTGACCACACAAACCTGTGACGCACATCGTAATGAGTATCACCTGCTCTCGCACACACGTGCCACGCAAGCACCTGCAAAAGAAGCGCGCTAACAGTTGTCATGGCTAGCTGCTTCAGCCGCGATGCTTCGCCGGTGCGTAGGTGGCGGAGGTCTTCAAGTTACTCACGTCACAGCAGATCTGGTGTGACGTCCCTACAACATTCGCCTCCCTTAATGTAGAGCTACGGCCATGTTGGACGCGCTAGCTATGGGTCTTGATCGAGAGAATGAGCATGTAGGTACGCTTAGGGAGTGAATGAAAATATATTGTAAACGTTTACTGTGTTTGACCATTCGTAAGGAGGATCCTTGCATGCAGAAGAACAGGCTTCTTATAGGCTCGAAAATTTATGGCATCACCCCTTCAAATTGTTTCTCCAGGTATTCTTGAGATATATGTAGAAAGAAAAACGTAGCAAAACAAATATAACAAAACGTAAGTGTCCTTTTCGCAATATCTTGCTCTTTCGTTGGCGCTATGTGTCGGCGACATTTTCACAGCAAGATGATAGAACATTGCTGACATAGCACAAAATATTAGTCTTATTCGTATCTTGCAATATATGTATTTTAAAGTACCAAAACCTCTGCTTCGGCATGTACCCATAATCGTAAAAAAAAAAACTTTTCTTTATGAACACGTACCAAACAATTTCAACTCGGAGCCCCTGTTACGCCTTGGGAGGTTTTTTTTACTGGTGTGTGATCGCCTGGTGACCTGAGGAACCCCATTGCGCAGAAATATATCATGCTGATTCAAAGTGACGATTGGAAAAAGCGCACTGAAAGAGGGAAGGGAGGCGAAAAACATTACCATGAAGTTTAATGAAAACCAGCAGATAACGGATCCAAGCATTGCTGAAGGCTTATAGCGTACAAAAACATGTACTGAGAAATACGTGACACACAAGTGCTAACTTGCCACAGTGTTTCTTTCGAAAAAAGGGAACCACATATTTAGGCAACATATCTTTTCACTATTGTTATTACAAGCACTCTGCGAATTCAGGTATCTTTGCGTAGACAGGCTAACTTCTTAGAGGAAAGTTCAATCGACGGCTTTGAGATATACTTATCTACCAGCCTGTCAATCAATTCAGTTTCGATAACTTTGCGGGATAGGTGACTTCTGTTGGTACCGATAATTAAACATTCTTGAAAAATAGGCATCCACGTGCTACGAACGTCATCACTTCCACCTGAATCGCCGCTCTGCCTTCCGTGAGCATCGAGGAACCCACTACTTTTGTTTTTCGTTCACGTTGTATTGGCGTTCCTTTAAATGCTCGTTGACGCAGCGACAACTTTGACTTACAGAATTCTTCTCACGTGTGAACTTAAGGTTTTACACTGCTGCATGCATGATTAAATTTCATAAACCTGTTTTTATGCCTCCTTTTGTACACGTGCTTCTCTGATGGGGCAGGTCTGGTTAGTATTCATCAGCTTTGCAATTTCCTGCTAGTCGAAAACAATACTTTAACGTTCGCGCGTTCTCCTATATTTTTTATTGGTAACACATTGATATACAGACTCACCTCGACCTTCCTCATGTCAGCTATAGTGAACTGGCGGGAGTGATATTTGGCGAGTTCGCATTCACAGCGCCCTCAGAAACGCTGACAAGCGCATGCATAGGGTAACCTGTGGCCCGAAGACGGTCAACAATTAGTTTGTGGTAACTTTCGCTCATGCGCCCAGGACATAACTGGCGTTGGGCGCTGAGCAAGCAAATCTTCGCCACTCCTCCCTCCACAAATGTGAAGTGTGCCGACTAATACAGAAACGGTGGCTCGTTGGCGCGAAGGTCGTACTTCAAGGGGATGGCTTGTTTCACCGTACGCTAAGGTTGATGCCGCAGTGAACTAGACCTTGAAGTGAAACTTTCATTTTAAGCCCATGTGAGTGTTGTTAATAATATTCATTGTGCGGGGTTAACAACATCCCAAAACGACGATATGATTATGAGAGGCACCATAGTGGAGGACTCCGCAAATTTAGACCACCTGGGGTGCTTTATTGTGCCCCTAAATCTAAGTACATGAGCCTCAAGCATTTTCACTTCCATCAAGCGCCGGACTTCCGGGCCAGCAGCCGAATGCCTTAGCCACTAAACCACCGTGGCGGGTTGGCTGAGCGTTGTTGACCTTGCTAAATGAGTTTTGATTCTTATTTTCGATATATTGTACCAGGGCATATTGTACTTCGACTCTCTCTATTCAACTGCGATTTCAACCCTTATTACGATTCAGCTCCGGTTGCAAAATCAGAAATTATTGGTATCGGGGACGTTATACGCCACCATTCAGGCCCATAAACAAGTTGAGGAGCGGAGAGGGGGGCTGAGGGGCCGCTGCACCTCTCTCTCGAAATTGAAATGGTGAAGTGTTTTACCAATGACAAATAATACGAAAAAGGTGTTTTGAGGACCATTAACAGATTCCCATTCCCCGGTAAAACATTTCTGGCTGTGGTCTTGTCACCGTTAAAAAATATCAATAGATAAAGGTTCAAAAATCGTGCCATGGCGTGAGCATCTTGAGTAAAATACACAGATGGGAACAAGCAGGCCTTCATTTATATTCGAAGCAGCTACAATAGATCTACTGCGCTTTATAACATGACTGCATGAAAGATCTCATTTCGCTGAAATTGCAGTGCCGTTGGTTTTTGGCGACAAAAGGACGTTGTCGCTGAGCGACGCGTAGCAAATAAAAATCTTCAGTTCCTGTAGCAATCAGATCTAGGCTTTTTGCGTAGCAAACGGTTGCACCACAGAAACACGCCAGTGCTCAAAACTGCTTAAAAAAACATATCTATACGCGAGGAGTATTCATAATGCCTGTAATATTACCTGGCAGAAGCAAGACTCGCGGCAGTAGTCAGAACATGTGAATTGTGCAACCAGTGGTTGGTTTAAACGTCCACTCATTACAAAGCGCTCAAGCATAAGTAATCGTCATCGACAGCAGCGGCATCGACAAAGTGTGCAGCTGTGTAGTGGAACGTGTTGTCCTATAGAATAGTAGCGGGTACCTCGCGAAGCCTAAAAAAATCACAGCATGTCCAAGAAATGAATGATGATGAGTGGGGTGAAACATCACTCAGTCCGTTCGTGCTTCTGTCCATTCATTCGTTCTTGCTTCCGTTCGTCCGTCTGTGCAATCGTCCGTCCGTGCATCCATTCGTGCGTCTGTCCGTTCATCCGTGCGTTCGTCCCTGCGTTCGTCCAAGCGTCCGTCCATCCGTGCACCCGTCAATTCATGCGTCCGCCTGTGCGTCCGTCCATCCGTTTGGCCGTGCTACTGTCTGTCTGTCCTTCCGTGCGTCGATGATATTGATTGATATGTGAGGTTTAAGGTCTTTTAAACCACCATATGATTATGAGAGACACTGTAGTGGAGGGATCCGGAAATTTTGGCCACCTGGGGTTAATTAACATGCACCCAAATCTGGGCACACGGGCCTACAACATTTCCGCCTCCATCGGAAATGCAGCCGCCGCAGCCGGGATTTGATCCCGCAACCTGCGGGTTAGCAGCCACTAGACCACCGCGGTGGGGCCTTCCGTGCGTCTGTTCATTCGTCCGTCCATCTAGTGAACACTCCAAGTACCACCATTTCGAATTTTTTCATCAAGTATTCATCATAAAGAATTACCGCCATCTAGCGGACATTCCAAGGACTAAACGAGAGCACGGCCAAACTAGAGGAGTAGAACTCGCACATTCTTGCGGCCTGTGCTTCGTGCCTAGCTCCCACGCTTCACCGCCGCTAGTTCTCGGCACTACGGCCCAACCATCGCTAAACCTGTGATTAGAAAAAAATTAGTGTCATAGGCGTCAATAACATTTCAACAAACCATTTTTTTCTTAGACATATATCAACTATGATGTCAAAACAGACTTCATTCACTTAAAATGAATATGAAATGACGTGGAAAGAACATGTAGCTGTGTTTAGACAAAGTGGTTAATGATTTTGAGAACTAGTACTCTACTATGGGAGATCAGCTGTTTAGGAAAGAACTAGTCGTTGTGTGTTTTAAAAAACTAGGTAAGGATTTAGAGTTCTACAGGTACTCCACTATGGGAGAGCTTAAAGCCGTCCCGTTGATCGTGATTTAAGACAACGATGGCTTCTGGTTTTGTGCACAGCAACTTTTTTCGGTCATAATAGTGCTCAAAGTTCGTCCTTCTGTGACTACTTTTTTTTTATTAAGCATCGAATTCAAGGCAAATTTTATTGGAGATTAAGTTAGCGATACTCGTTGCTGTAGGTTGTTTTATCAGAAACAACTATCTTTTGAATTATGATGAACGTGCACGCGTTTCCTCCTCAATTCAAATGAGTTTGCGCGTGCCGCTCCTCTATAGTCCGGCCGTGGAGGTTGCTACCTGCTACTACTACTACGACGACTGCCCCTACTTGTACTACTACTCCCTACATCGCGTACGCGCGACCCACGGCATAAGGATCTTCACCCCTAAAAGCGAGAATTACCACCTACTGACCACTTCGCAACTTTACTCGCACTGGGCCTTCTAGGATAGTTCGAGACGGGACCACCGTTATGCGCACAAACGCCCGTTTTCTTGCGGAATGGTTTCGATGCCCAGTAAGGAGGCGAGTCAGGCTAGCCATCGAGATGTTGATGTTAATGCGTCCCAGGTGGGGTACCATGTAATAATATTGAAGGCGAAATCGAAGCTTGCTATGCTACATGGATTATTCTTTCATTCCAATTCATCCTTAAAAAACTGCATAACACATATTTTTTTTTACTTTCCACAGGATACTTGTGCTGGAACAAGGAAAGGTCAGGGAATTCGACTCAGTGTCTAAGCTGCTCTCCGACACATCATCTGCCTTCTACAACATGGCCGTAGAAGCTGGTATTCGTAGTCCAACAAAACAATTGGACCTTATCTCCGTCGATTTGTGATACACATTTGTTGTATATCCAAGAAATACTTATATACCATATTTTGACAAGGACCTTCTTGGAACAATCTCATGCGGCAATATCAATTTCCATTAATATTTCGTAATAATAGAGAAAGGCCTGAACAAGAAGTGGCAACACAAACTTGACGAAGATTCGGGCCCCCTGTACAGGGCATACAGCAAACAGACATATAATTCACTCATGTACATATCGCGTATTCAATATCACAGGAAATACAAATTATATGCATCTAGCAGATACATTGATACATAAATCAAGAAATAAAGTAAATAGAAATGTAGCTTTAAAACACAACAAAACCATTCGGGAAATTGTGCATCATATCATATAAAATGTTCTGTTTGTGTTAAACCAGTTGGTAATAAATCATTTATTGTCATTATCGTATCGCAAACCAATTGTTTCGATACTTTTTTGTGGTGTGGTATCACAATTTTATGTTGAAAGAACATAATTAACAAAACAGGCAGGGTATATCGAGTGCTTTGCTCACCGTATTTGTTTCTTGAAAAAGGTACTTGCAAGAATTCATTGTTACGCATAGCATACTGGGAGGTTCTAGATTTTAAGTCCATCAGGGCAAATAATATTTTATCAATATTGATTAAACTATGCCTCTTGTAGGCAGAGTGTACGAGTAAAAGTTCAGCATGGAGATGAATTGAACCTAAACAACAGTTTGTTTATCGAATGGTGCGCCAGGTATTTGTTTAATAGCATGACGCCTTAATAGGTGCACTAGATGTCAGATAACTGACATTTTCTCAGCAGCAGTCATTGAAGAGGACTACGATGAAGTTTTTGCTGCCAAAGGTTCAGTTTAGGCTCTTGAAGTGTGCGCATGTCACGTATAGCAGTTCAGGGATGAAAGTGGGCGACAGAGCGTCCACATTCGTTTTCATCCATGGAAGAAAGACAATGTTTTAATACGAAGCATTTCTCAACGAACTTCGACGAGTTTGAGCGTATCTATCTATCTATCTATCTATCTATCTATCTATCTATCTATCTATCTATCTATCTAATGTATCTATCTATCTAGCCACCCACGACTTTTAGCTCTCCTGGCCGTTTCGATAATGGTATCGATAGCAAACTTGGTATGGCATAACATTACTGTTAAAAGAACATATTTAACCAGTCATAGCATGAAAATCATGACATGTGTGTCATGAATGTCGTGATTTACATTTTGTGGTCCTGCAGCTCTTGCGGTGGTTTCTCTCACAAGACATGTTGCAAAACTTGTATGGTATAGCATGATTGCTTGGTGAACACAAGCGACAGACCCTAACATGAAAATTATGTCATTCGTGTCATGTATTCACATGACTACATGCGAAGCTCACGATGCGCTCGCGGCTGTTTCGCTGGCGTCACATATACTAAATTTGGTATTACGGTACGTGAATGAATGACTAAGGTATGTGACTGGTGTAAACATGATAATCACGAGATGCGTATCATGTAACAACATGACTACATGTCACGCTAATGATGTGCTGGCGGCCGTTTTGCTAGCTTCACTTATACCAAATTTGGTAATCCAAGACGTGAATGGATGACGAAAGTATAAGAGTGGTGCAAACATGATTAACATGGCATGCGTGTCATGTAACAATATGACTACATGCCACGCTCATTATGCGCTCGCGGGCATTTCGTTAGCATGACATATACGAAATTTGGTATTACGTTACGTGAATGGACGACATGGGTAAATTACACACCCAAACATGATAGTCACGACATCCAAGTCATGTAAGAACATGACTACACGCCGTTTTGCTAGCTTCACATATGCCAAATTTGGTTTTACGTGGTGACGTCAATGGATGACGAAGGCATGTGACAGGTGCAAACATGATAATCATGAGATGCGTGTCACGTGACAACATGACTACATGCCTCAGTGAAGGCGCCAATACACTTCGCCGTGACACGGTGCGCGTGCTCGGCGTTCGTTTCGTTGCATCACGCCGGCGTTGCTGCGACAGTCGCCGGTCCTGCCATATACTCGCAGGCGCGCGTCGTGCTGCGTTGCTTTGACGCATGCGCGTTTCAGTGCGTCTGGCGTTCCTCCGTCTTGAAAAGGGGCAAACGCAGTGCTGTTGGGTTAACGTAGTGGGTGTGAAATGCAGCCTATCGCATTTCGCGCCGGCTGGCGTCGGTCCACGCAGACAGACGCTGGTCGCGGTGGTGGCACCTGGCGTCAGACTATAGATTTTTCACGTTTAGCTAACGTATAGCGTCACTGTGCCCAGCGCGCCCGCGCGTCAACGCTACGTTGGCATATATTCGGCCCTTCATGATGCACTCATTGCCGTTTCGCTAGCTTAACATATACCAAATTTGGTCTTGCGTGACGTCAATGGATGACGAAGGTATAGGACTAGTGCAAACATGATAATCATGACAGGTGTTTCATGTAAGAACATGACAACATACCACGTTCATAGAGTGCATGCGGCCGTTTCGCTAGGTTCACATATACTAAATTTGGCATCACGTGACGTGCATAGATGACGAAGGTAAACTACACATCCAAATATCATAATAATGAGATGGAAGTCGTGTACGGCGTAATTTACCTCCACCTCGTATCGTTGGAGGGATCTTAAAGTGACATATCAACCTTCATCATTCGTGCTTCGCCTTTCATTGATTCCCACTCTACGTGGGATCTGCCAATTTTTAGGAGGCGTCGGTCTACCACCCACTCCTGTTGCCGGGAATCTCAGGGGGGAAATATTATGTTTTCAGCATTGTCAGCAAAATGGCGCCATGAGCACGCGCTCTCATCTCCCACGTTTACTTTCACCCACGCAGACGTACGGAGTGTATCGTGGTGAGGAGGATCGTACGTCTTGGCTGGCGTTGGGCTTTCACTGGAACAATTCTGTTGTAGTTGCCGGGCGCACTAAAGTTGCTGCAATCATCGCACAGTCTCTGTTTGCGAAAATGGCGCGCTTTCCAGACACAGTGAAGTAACAACTGAAGCGCTTATTCGCGTTCATAATTGGCACCGTTCAGTTGAGTTTTCCAGTCTGACTGGAGCGCCAAAATAAATAGCCTGACGGATAAAGAAAGCAACCTTGAGACGGCATTGATGAAACTGGAACGCGACGCTTGCGTCTCGCGCCCTGCAAATGTTGGCGGATTGTGGTCGCGATACATGGGGGATGCGAGCACTCGTCCGTTTCCTGCGTGCCCCTAGCGGCGATCGTCAAAGTCTTTGATAGGGACAGGGTGAGCCATGCAGCTCCCTCTGATTATTGTGCGGAAGACACAACACACGTTGCGTTTACCTCTTATCTGGTAGTGACGTTAAATAACTCTAACATGCCGCGAGTAGGTGGCCTTCACTGCCTTCAATGCAGCGCGTTTGAACCGCGTCTGTGCGTTTGTGCTGCCTTGGCACCACCTAAAGACATTGAGTTTGAAACGCGTTTGTGTAGCATTGAAGTCGGTGGCAAGTCAAGTTCAAGTCAAGCAGTGTTTCTGAACACGGGGGTAATTTTCACTTTGAAAAATGTCGTACCAACTCGCCCAAGCAACCACGTTAGGTAATTTTCAGCTTTGTGCGGTTCCCCATTTGCAGTAAGAGAATGAATTTCTGTATATTAAATGCAAAGCATTTCTTAGTGAACATCAGCGACTTTAAGCATATCTATCTATCTATCCATCCATCTATCTATCTATCTATCTATCTGACTATCTATCTATCTATTTATCTACCTATCTAGCCGCTTACGACGTCTAGCTCTCCTGGCCGTGCGGTGATGGTGTAAAATACCAAACATTGTATGACATGACATGACCGCATGACGAGCACAAGTGACTTGTCATAACATGTATGTCATGAATGTCATGATTTACATTCCATGGTTTGGTGCTCTTGCAGTGGTTTCGTTTACATGACATGTTGCAAAGCTGATGGGGTGTAACATAACTGCATGGCAAACGCAAACGACTGACCCTAATATGAAAATCATATCATGCGTGTCATGTAATGACATGACTACTTGCCACACTCATGATGCGCTCGCGGCAGTTTCGCTAGCTTCACATATACCATATTTTGTATTACGGGACGTGTATACATGACGAACATATGTGATTGGTGCAAACACGATAATCATGAGATTCGTGTCATGAAACAACATGACTACATGCTACGCTCATTATGCGCTCGCGGCCGTTTCACTGCCTTCAGATGTACCGAATTTGGTATTATGTGGCGCAAACAGACGATATAGCTAAATGACACGTCCAAACATGATAATCATGGCATGCGTGTCATCTAACAACATGACTACTTGTCACACTGATAATGCGGTCGCCGCTGTTTCGCTAGCTTCACATATGCCAAATTTGGTATTAAGTCACGTGGATGCATAATGAAGGTGTGTGGCTGGTGCAAACATGATAATCGTGAGATGCGTGTCCTGTAAGAACATGACTACATGCCCCACTCAAAGCACCAATTACACTTCTACGTGACGCGGCGCGCGTAGGCTTTCGTTTTGTCGTGTCACGTCAGAGATGCCACTCCAGGTGCCGATGTGCCTGTCATATACTCGCAGGCGTGCGCCACGCTGTGTTGCTTTGACGCATGCGCGTTTGAGCACGTCCGGCGTCCCTCTGTAAAGAAGAGAGGCAGACGCGGTGCTGACTGGGTAATGTAGTCGCCGCGAAATGCAGCATGTCGCATTTCGCACTGGTTGCCGCCGGATTGCACCGACGGACGCCTGTCGCGCCGGTACTCGCGGTTTGCTTGGGTAGCGTCGCTGCGATCAGCATGCGCGTGCGTCAACGTTACGTCGAAGTATATTGGGCCCTTCATGATGCGCTCGCCACCATTCCACTAGCTCCACATATACTGAATTTGGTATTGTGGGACGTGAATGAAAGACGAAGGTATGTGACTGGTGCAAACATGATAATCATGACACGCGTGTCATGTAAAACTTGACTACATGCGACGCTCATAGCACGCCCGCGGCCCTTTGGCTTGCTTCTCCTTACACCGAATTTGGTATCAGGTGACGTGAATAAATGACGAAAGTAATTGACACGTCCAAACATGATAATCGTGACATGGAAGTCATGTACGACATAATTAACCTCCCCCTCGAAACGTTTCGCTGATTTTGAAATGGCATATCAACCTTCCTCATTCTTGCTTCGCATATCATCGATTCCCACTGTACGCGGGATCTGCCTTTTTTTTTTGTTCTCTTGCTATCTTCGGGTCTGTTTTCCTCCTTTCTTTCTCTATATTTTTCTGTCTTCCTACATCTCTCTTTTTTTCTTGTCTTTGGGTGTGTAGTGTCTATAGCAAACAGAAGCTCGGCCGCAATGGTATTTGCATTGGTGATGTATTTACTTTTA